CTTGAAGAACGGTGATAAGGCTTGGATTTTGATCTTCACTTGCGCAGTATATCGAGCTGTACACTTAGAACTTGTGAAAACATTATCAACTGAGGGGTTCATATTAGCATTGAGAAGATTCATTGCCAGACGAGGAAGAGTTTCAACTATATACTCTGATAATGGTACGAGTTTTGTAGGCGCAAGTAATCTTTTAAACAAAATCAATTGGGACGAAATTTTAAAATATTCTTCAGTTAAAAGAATTTCATGGATTTTTATTGCTCCTACCGATGCCTGGTGGGGAGGATGGTGGGAGCGAATTGTTAGAATAACAAAGGAACTTTTAAGACGCAATCTAGGAAAGGCTTCAATTAACTATGAAGAAATGATGACTATTTTATGTGACTGCGAAGCGATTGTTAATTCTAGACCATTAACATATGTGTCAGAAAATGAAGAATTGGTACCTTTAACGCCCTTAAATTTTCTACAAACTCTTTCTACAAGCGAGGCACCAGATCTAGATTATATAGATAGGCAGAAATTAGTTAAAAGACACAAGTACCTACAAAAACTGAGAGATGGTTTAAGAAGTAGATTTAGAAGGGAATACCTAGCAAACCTGATACATCATGGTAAAAGAAAAACGTCTGAAATAAAAGTAGGAGATGTAGTTCTTTTAGAAGTAGACAATAAAAAAAGAGTTAATTGGCCATTAGCCAGAATTATCTCGATACACCCTGGTAGAGACAATATAGCACGAGTAGCTCGAATTAAAGTCAATGGAGTGGAATTACTAAGACCATTCCAAAGACTGTATCCATTAGAAATGTCCAAGACAGAAACCAAAAGCAGTCAGCTGAATAAAACTTACCCCGAAAGCCAGTCCAAGACAAACACGGAAGAGGAGAAAGGCAAAGAAAACAGCATTGAAGAAATTACAAAACTAAATCCTGAAGTAGAACAGAATCAAGGAACAAGAAAGAATAAGGAAATTACGACAAGATATGGAAGAATAGTAAAGAGTCCCGACCGTTATCAAAGTTAAAATAATACGTTTTCAATTCGGTAATTGCAAAGGTGGGAGGATGTTGTAAATAAGTTGAACTCACCTTGTATTTTATAATTTTTGAGTTACCCTCATATTTATTTTGGACAGGCGTGACATCAATTTTTATAGAATTGTCAGAAATATATTTTGTATTGTCAGAGTTAATATATTTTATATTTTCGATTAATAAATCCTTTCTTCATAAACGTCCAATTAATTATAGCGTGCATGTCCGTTATGCGGGATCTGCGGTCCCACCCCAGAATTAGCCTGAGACACCTGTTTTGTGTTGCTTGTAATTTTTGAAAGTGGCAATTTGCCATGGAGCAAAAGACTGGACATCCATATGTGAGAGTGGGGCGAATAACTTGATTATAAAGAAGTTTTTTATTTGGACTAGTTACTCCGCTGTTTCGATGTAGGAGGGGGTAAAGAGTTTTAATTGCCCCTATGGATTTCGCTATTCTGTCTTTAATGTGTTTTTGGAACGTTAATCCCCTATCAAGGTGGAAGCCTAGGTATTTCAACGAATTGCCTGTTTCATTTTTGATTTTAAGTTTGGTTATTATTCTTTTAGATTTTAGTTTTGTTATTAGTAGAGATTCTGTTTTAGATGCGTTGATCTTCATTTTGTTGTGTTCCATGTAGGGAATTAACGTTTTGTTGATATGGATGTCCAATCTTCTTGTGGCTATTTCAGCATTATCTGAAGATTTATACACACAGGTGTCGTCGGCGTACAACGCCGTCTGTATACCATTTTGACCCATTGGCATGTCATGGCTCATAATGATATACAGGTGCGGCGAGAGTACTGAACCCTGAGGTACTCCCGCAGATGCTATGTATGGTCCTGTGATGGTTTTGTTAATTTTAACGTAAAAAGTCCTGTCCTGTAGGTACGATTGAATAGTTTTTACAATGTGTACAGGATATCCATTTACAAACATTTTATGTATAAGTCCGCGGGTCCAAACTGTGTCGAAGGCTTTCTCCGCGTCAAGTGAGACTAGAACTGTTTGTTTTTTGTTGCTGATGGCTTTTTTCGCGTGATGCGCGATTCTAATTATTTGAGCGATGGTGCTGTGCCCTTCCCTGAACCCATATTGTTCCCGCGGAATTATGTTTAGGTCTTGTTCAATAAGTAAAAGTCTAGTTTTTATTATTTTGTCTATAATTTTTGCGACAGCGCTTAGTATAGAGATGGGTCTGTAACTTTCTGCTAGTTTACCATTTTTATTAGGTTTTTTAATGGGGATTATGTGTGCCATTTTTAGATTTTTAGGGTAGTGTTGTAGTCTTAGTACCGCATTAACTATGTATGAGAGTTGCACATATGCTTTTTTGGTAAAGTTTTTTAATAGAATGCTATTTATTCCATCCGGCCCCGGGGCTGTTCTGGTTTTTAGGCTTTTTATATTTCATCGGGATTTGTTAAATGGTGATTGGGTATTTTATGGGGTTTTAGTCTCGCTATACAGTCAGCTGTGTCCTCTATTTTTTGCTGAGCTTCATTGTTTTTTATTTTGTTTGTAAAGTTATCCTGGAAGATTTCCCCTAATACTTGGCATTTTTGTTCGTCCGTTTCGTATTTTGTCTGTCCTTGTTCCAGTGTGGGTATTTGTTCATGTTTTCTTGTGAAGTATTTTACTGTTTTCCATATGGAGTTGTCTTTTGTGTTTAAGTCTTTTAGTTTATTGTGCCACTTTTCATTTCTGAATTCTTTAATTTTTGTATTGATAGTTTTTGCAATGTCCATGAGTCTTGTTCTGTCGTCAGTGTCTCTGTTACTTTGCCATCTTTTCCTAATTTTGTTTTTGTTGGAAATTAGTTCTTCAATTTCTTGTGGGAGTTGTTCGTGGTGTAATTTGATTTTAGTTATTTTTGTTGATATTTCTCTGGCTTTAAGTATGTCTTTGATTAGTTTGTCCGTCTCTGTCTCAAGGGTTTTAATGTTGTTTATGTTGTTATTTATTTTAATTTCTTTGTCCAGAGCTGTCCTGTATTTTGTCCAGTCCGTGTTTTTGTAGTCGTAGTATTGATTTTCATGTCTTTGTATGTTATGAGTTCTTAGTTCTAGGTAAACTGGGTCATGGTCTGAATTTAATGTTGGTATAGTTATCATGTTTTGTACTGTGTTGATGTTTTTTGTTAGTGCAAGGTCTAGCGTAGATGGTAGTAGTCCGTTAAAGTGAAAGCATGTCGGTTCTTCGGTATAGTGTATTAGAATGTCGTTGTTGTCTGTGTACTCTTTTATTAGCGTTCCACTTGCATTGGGGTGGGTGCAATTTGAATCCCATTCAGGGTGACGACTATTAAAATCTCCTACTAATAGGACTTTATTACCTACCGACAAGAGTTTATGTAGGTCCTGAGTTTTTAATTTTATTTTATAAGCGCCAGTATATGGGGTTATATATATACCTACTATCGTTATACTACCTACCTGTACTATTACATGTTCGAAATTAATTGAAATATTAGCTTTAACTGAGTGTTTAATTTGTTTTTTAATTAAGAAAGCTACACCCCCACCTGCTCTATCAGGCCTATCATGTCTGTAGATGTCATAGTCGTATACTTTTATTTTGTGTTTTGGCTTTAGGTATGTTTCCGTTAATATTACTATGTCGAATTTATGTTTGTAAATGAAGTTACTGACCAATGGTAATTTGCCCAGCAGCCCATGCACATTGTAAAAACATATTTTGTATTTGTGCTTAGAGGTGTCCGCGAAATTAATTCTTGAAATTGTAATTGTTGATTTGTAACATAAAGTTATGATATGCGAGGAAGACTTCTCCTCCGTTTTGACACTCTCTAAGTTTGTTATTTAGATCTTTTACTGCCCTAGTTAATTCTTTGATATTTACCAGACTATACAATTCATTCATCTCGCGATTGAGTTCGAACATGTCGTCCATGGCAGGTGGTTGAGTTGTTTGACCACGCTCGGTTGAGCGTTGTCTGCTGATTGTGGGTTGTCTGATTATCTGTTGTTGACTGCTGCTTGGCTGTTGCCTCATTGTTGGGAGAGGTGGGAAATCCTCTCTTTGGCCTCTAATATTTTGGTCTGATTTTCTTCTTTCCCATTGGTTTACTTTTGGGACTGGTGCTGGGATATATTTTTTGGCTGGTATTTTTTGCTTCCTATCAGCCATTCTTTCTACTCTATTTGTGTAGGTCTCACACTTGCTGTAATTTGCGGGGTGGTCCCCTCCGCAATTTGCACACGTAGCCGGTGTATCCCGGGTTTTTAGACAGGTATTTGTGATGTGGTCTCCTGCACATTTTAAACATTTCGGCGGTCTGCCGCAGTTTGAGGTGGCATGTCCCCAAGCCTGACACCTATGGCATTGTATAACCTGTTTGTGGCTTTTCCTAAGCTCCCACGTTATTCTGGTATTTAATATCACTCTTATGTTTTTGTTAAGATATTCTAAGGTTATTGAGGGGTCGGTTATCACGAGAAAAAGCGGTCTGTTTTTTGTGGACATTTGGTATACTGCTCTGAGTTTTATTTCGTGCTCAGTTTCCATCTCTTCATCAAGGTCTTCGATTAAGGTGCCTTCACCTAACCCTCTGATTACGAACGCATGCGATTTGTCAGCATTTGCTGTGTAAGTGTGGTACGGTACCTCTTCATGTTTGATATTGAGGAGAACGTTGTCGTAATCTTCTCTGTTCTCTGTGAATATAATTGTAGAATTGTTCGTGTATTTCACGTTAAATGGGCCCTTTATTATTTTTTTCATTATACCCATAAGGGATTTATGATTGTCTGTGGTGCCATCCATCACAATGGGGGGCATATTCTCCTTTTTTTTGGTGGATTTTGTGGCAGTATTGCCTTTGCTTTTATTTTTAGGCATTTCTGCTACCTTATTGTTTTTTACCGTTGTGTCGTCTTCATCCGGTGCTTCGTCGTCTGCGTCTGATTCATCCGTGAGTACCTCGAATCGGTTTTTTAGTTGAATCGGCAGTGTGTTTTTGACTTTTTGTCTAACAACTCTCCTAAGGCTTGGTGAGTTTTTTCCGGGGTTACGAAGGCTCTACTATTGTCCGTGTTATTCGTCACAATGGTGTCGATTTTTTCCATGTCTTCCTGGTCTTTTCTGGTTCTTTTTGACTGTCTTAATGGGAATGTACTGTTTGGGGATGTTATTTCTTGTACTCTTTTGGTTTTAGGTTCGAGGTTTTCGGGATCTTTTGGTTTAGGGGGTGGGCATTTGGGTTTGTTTGGGACATCCGTGGGGAGAGTTAGCATTTCAGGTTGTTCAGGGATATGGTGGAGTTCTGGATGGACAGTTTGTTTTAGACCTAACTCATTGTCTTGAGATTCGCTAACTTTGAAATTCATTATGTTGTTCCGTAATGATTCCGGAACATCAGTTGCTCTGATTGTAATTTTCAGCTCATCATTATCGGCCACTGTGACATAAGCTGAGTTGAAATTCTCCAGTGTGGGGTTTAATTGATTTGGTGTCCCAGTTTGGGCAATTTCTGGGCTACTTACTGGGGATACTTCCACCGCCGTTTTTGTTCCTGAATCATCGGATTCCTCGGACGAAGAGGACACTTTATCAGTGTCCATGTCGTAATCGGCATTGTTTCCATCTCTATCGCTTCCAATAGGGGGTGTTTTGACCCTTTCCGGGTTAGATTCTTCCATATTGATGGGATTTTCGGTTACTACATTCCCTTTATCTAAGGGGAGCTCCGTGTCACTTTGAGGGGCCCCTGCAGGGTTGCCTTCTGCTATGCCTTGGTTTCCTCGTGAGTTAGACTCTTCAGGGTTATTTGAAGGTCGTTTAGAAAATAAATCGAACAGGGGTTCCCCTTGTACGGGTTGCTTGATCCCTGTGTTAGTATGAGCGGTTAGTGGCAAACGGTATCTACTCACGTTTTGTACTGGGTTTATTTTGACTTTCCTTTTAATGTTTTGTGGAGTGCTTATTTGTGAAACTTTGTTGATTCCAGTTACATCCAGCCGGCATCTGCTTCTGACTTTCTTCATATATTGTGTTTCAAAGCCTTCTGTAGGCGTTTGTGGTGCCCTGTCGGGCTTTGGCATGGGATTTGACCCTTCTTCTGATAGAAATAACTTACTCTGGCGTGGGGAAACTTTAGGAAAATATTTAATTATAAATTAACTACTGTCAAACACTAGTTTTGAAAAAATCCGCTTGGGTATTAATCGCAACAACACCTAGTGAGAGTCCTAGGTAAACATACTAAATAATTATTTTACTAGGACAAGTACTGAAACAAACTAGTCCGACGGAAGACTGAACGATGACGTCACTCCCCGCCGAGGAAATCGAGGCCTGTCACGAACATTCTGCGTCTCTCAGAAAAATTTTATGATAAATGCTTACCGCCCGAACTCAATGCAGACATAAAATCGATTTATCAAGGTGATGGTGCTAATAGACCCCATGGTTGTTTGCACAGTGCACTCATGATCTACACAAATCACGGATAATTGATAATATAAATTCAACCAAAGACATACATCCATCTTAGCAGCGAAAACCCCACTGAATACTCAAATTACAATGTCGACTAGTTAGCAACTTTGGTCGGACGGACGACTGCACGGTGACGTCATCGCCCGGTGCGAAAATTCGTGGCTTGCTGCCAACAGTTCTAGGACCTAGTTGAGCAAATCTACGGAGTGTGTTTACATTGTTCCTTATCTATTGACAGCTGTCATAATTAATATTTCTTTTCCTTCATATCAAGAACCACGCCAGTGTAAGTAAATCCCGGATTAAGGGAGAGTGTTCAATGCACAAGCCCGGAAGGGCCTCTCAAGCATCGATTAAAGATTTTGAGACCACATACACCAAACGCCTCAAAAATAGGGTCACCGCTGATGGTCTGAAGAAGTTATCCAATATAACCAACTTTAAATCTCCCAAAACTGAAAAACTTAAACTCAGAAACCAACTGGGAAACGTAAATGTGAGTACCACACCTAGTAAACTAACAGTAACTAACTCTGGGGTCAGATACCCGGAACTAGGGGACCTCCCGGTCAAAAATTTATTAGAACGACCTTCATCTGACCGCCAAGGTGTTGGTGAGGCGGCAGAACAGCCGGCAAACAAAATAGAGGGGGAAACCTCACGTAAGCCATCAGTAGCTGGCTCTGACGAGTCCCTCGAATACCTGAACAGTCAGGACGACAGCACAAACAGTCAACACGACCACACGGACAATGAACATGATAAATCCGTTAAAAAACTGATACATGATCTAGAGAACTCCGATGAGTCAATTAATTCCACGAAAAGCGACGAAAGCATGGACACCACTGTAGTTGATAACAGCACTAAGAGAGAACCAGGTGAAAAAACTCCTGATAGCGATAAATTTGTCTCCGCATACATCACAGGGCCAGAAGGAACACCAATACGAACCCTTAATCTCCCTCCGAATGTCATCACAAACCTTCTTGACTTCAACACGCAGAACTACAGTCAAAACACTCAAACTCACACTCAAACTCAAACTAGAGGTGTGGCGGTTGCCCAAAGTGGGGATGAACTGAGTAGTTTCCGCTTTGGGTACGCTCCCACACCCCCAGTCCCCATTCTAGGAAGTACAATCGATATGAACACAGTAGTACTTAAAGGCTCCGGTGCTATCAGCAAAAACATCTCTAAAGATCCTAGACAAAAAAGGAAAGAACTTCCGGTGAGTGTGGCCTCCGGCATATTAAATTATGAATCTAGCATCACGTCAGATGACGACGTCAGAACTAGAATGGACAAAAATGATAATCTACCCCACTCCCCGAACAGTCTGTTCGAGTTCAGAACAGAAGCTGAAAGGGCGAGGCATATACAAGAAACGAGAGAATTAGAAGCTGCAAAAAAGGCTAGTATGGAGCAACAACCCTTTATAAAGCCCAAAAAGTTCTCCACCAACTTTGAACGGCTTATACGAGAGAAAACATTAAAAACAATAACACCTATCAACAACAAATTCGACGCTCTGACAGATGAATCCGATGATGATGTGAGTGATGACGAAATTGGCAAGATAGTCAAGAAAAGAAAAAAGGGACAGAAATTTAGACCACTTGAAATGAGAGATCTACCAACAACATCGAACGCTGCAACATCGCAAGCTAACAATGAAACCCAAAACTCACAAAATCAAAATAGAACACCACTCACAAAAAACTTTGGAACAAAAGCCATAAAAGTAACCAAGAAAACCATGCCGCCCATCGTTATAGACGGGAAAACGAAAGACCAACAGTCACTCATTAGGGACTTAAAAGTGCAAGTCAAAGGCCAGTTTAGTGTGAAGCACACAAATGCAACTACTATAATATTCGTTGACGAAAAAGCAGACCATGAAAGAGTAATAAATAATATTAAAAGTGATAACATACCATACCACACTTACACATCGAACGAGGATAAATTACATGCTTTCGTTCTGCGCGGACTGGCGGAAGGCACAAATATACAACAGATAGAGGAAAATCTCGAAGAGGAGCACGATATAAAAGCTCGATCAATATACCAAATGAAAACTAAGGACAGGCCCCTGTTCCTGGTTGTTACTGACACTGCAATTACATTAGACTTCCTAAACAAGAATGTAAGAAGAATATTATACACGCGAGTAACGTGGGAATTACGTAAATCCACCAAGGCCATAATACAGTGTCATAACTGCCAGCAATGGGGGCACGCCACGTCCAATTGTGGCCGACCAGCAAAATGTGTGAAGTGCGTGGGTGATCACCACACGCGAACTTGTGTAAAAACTCCTGATACGCCGGCAACGTGTGCAAACTGTGGGGGTGATCACCCCGCCAACTACACGAAATGCCCCAATTATCTCGAAAAATACGAGAGGATGCTTGAAAGAAGGCCAAAGCAGCAGCAAAAATATGTTCCCGCCCCCCAGCCGATCCTGAACCAATGGGAGGCCAGAAATAAGAACAGAAACTCAAATGCAGAATTTCCTGCATTACCATCTAAATATGCACGTGAAATTGCAGAAAATGTGAAAATCCCACCCAGAAGAACAGATACACAAAAACTACCAACCCCAGGCGTGGCAATGGACGATTTCACGGCCCTAAACAATGAATTTGAGACCCTTAATAGACTTATCAATATAGGTGAATTAACCAGAGCAGTCAGAGAACTGAACGCCAGACTAATAAAATGTAAAACGGGAAAAGACGTCATAGAGACATACAACGCGTTCATGACGGACGTTGACATCAATTTCAAACTCTTAAATTAAATCTATCATTTAAATTTCTTAAATACAGTAACATTCGTTTAATTACATGGTAAAATGCTTTTGTGGATGTTTATGCGACTACGGAAGCACTTTTTCTCAGAACTCCTGTGAGTTTCTGGGAAATTGGTGTGAGTAGGGGCATGAATATCCGCAAAACGCACTCACTAACATACATACGAGACAGGATACATTAGAGAGAGAGAGAAGAATTTTATTTACAGTATTTACATATTAATTTACATCTACATAAATGTACGTCATCGATGACTACGCCTCTGTTCTCCAGCCTAGACTGGTGAAGTATGGGCGACGTCTCGTACCGCAATCACTAATGCAAGATGCTTAAGTGTGTGAAATGTAAGGTGCCATCTCCTTATCGCGATAAATATTATATGGCAGTTATGATTGGTTTGTTAGCGTCGGTAATGGAACTTTCCTCAATGTAATTTTTTTTGTCTGTCGTTAGTTTTGTAATTTTTCCCTGAAAAAGGCTATGAAAAAACAGGGTTGTCTTTGTAATGTCCGTTTGTCCGTATAGTTTATGACTAATTTGTACAAATTCGAGGGCTGCACGGTGTCATCGTCGATCGTAGCAGCGAAAAATATCGCCGTTTCGATTTTCGACTCACCGTGCAGTCCTCCGTCCGACCAGATTTTACGTCTAGTCGACTTGAATTTGTACCATTAGTATTGTTGTCACAGGGCACAGTCTGTGTATGTTTCGTGTGTCTTATGTCTCAAATTTGTCTGTAGATTGTCAATGCTTTGTGGAGACATCCATGCTTTCTGTGAGCACTATTTGCCTCCGTAATGCTTAATATGTCTTCCTTTACATTAGTAGGAAGACTATTTTTGTAAAATCTTTCTGACATGTTTAGAATGTATGTTTTAATCATGGGCATGGATGTCTCTGCATGCATGTCCGTTATCCTGGAATAGCGGAGCCACCCCAGTGCACGCCTCAAACAACTGTTTTGTATTACCTGGAGCTTATTAAAGTGACTTTCCGTCATGGAACAGTAGGCCTGACATCCATAAGTTAAGATAGGCCTGATTATCTGTCTGTATAACAACAGCTTATTGTCCCGACTGAACCCGTTATTGCGTCTAAGCAGGGGATATAATGTTCTAATTGCTGCGTTGGCCTTAGTTACCCTTTCTTCAATATGTTGCCTGAACGTTAGTTCCCTGTCCAAGCGCACCCCGAGATATTTTATTGAACGCTGTGACTCAATCACTTGCTCTCCTACTTTTAATTTGGTGGTAATTATACGTGTTCTACCCTTTCGGGTTTTTGTTAGAGTCAAGCTCTCGGTTTTCAAAGCGTTCAATTTCATCTTGTTCGCGCTTAGATAGGGGACCAAAGTTCGGTTAATATGGATATCAAGCCTCCTGTTCGCTACTTCAGCAAGCTCCGAAGTTTTATACACACAGGTATCATCGGCATACAGTGCCGTCTGTACACCATTAGTACCCATGGGCATATCATGGGTCATAATCGTGTACAGATGCGGCGAAAGTACTGAACCCTGAGGTACCCCCGCCATTGCATTAAATGGTCCTGTTAAAGTTTTGTTTATTTTAATGTGGAATGTTCTGTCCTGTAGGTATGATTGAATCGTTTTTACAATATAAATAGGAAATTCATTTATAAACATTTTGTAGATAAGCCCACAGGTCCAGACGGTATCGAACGCCTTTTCGGTATCCAGGGCGACAAGGACGGTTGCTTTTTTATTGTTAAAGCCTTCTTTGGCTTGATGCGCTATGCGTATAACCTGTGCAATCGTACCATGTCCTTCGCGGAAACCGTACTGTTCCTGTGGGATTATTTGTTTGTCTTGTTCTATTAAGCGTAGTTTATTAAGGAGTATGATGTCGATAGTTTTTGTGAGTGTGTTTAGTAGGGATATGGGACGGTAGCTTTCTATATTTTTCGCGGGTTTACCTTGTTTCCTAATCGGGATTATGTTTGCGGTTTTTAAAGATTTTGGGTAATATTGTAATTTTAGTATCGCGTTAATTATGTGGTGTAGTTGCACGAGCGCTTTCTTAGTTATGTTTTTCAGCATAAGGCCTGTAATCCCATCTGGGCCCGGTGCCTTCCTATTTTTAATTTTGTTTATTGTAATTTTTACCTCTTTGGGAGTGACCAGCTGATTGGTCGGAATTGCTTCTGCGGGGAGGAGCCTAATGTCCTCTACTACGTCCTCAATTATTTGCTGTTCTACATTATTTATTGTGTCATTAGTGAAATTATTTTTGAAATGTTCCCCAAGTGCTTCCCCTTTTTGTGTGTCAGTTGTATATTGTCCGTTATTGTCCTCAAGTATGGGGAGTTGCATAGTCGGTTTCTTATACCGCTTTACAACCCTCCATAAAGAGTTGTCTTGTGGTTTGAGTTCACGTAGAATGTCTGTCCATTTTTTGTTTCTTAAGTCACGTATAGCTATGTTTATTGTCTTTGAAATGTCCAAGAGTCTGAGTCTGTCGTCGCCTTGTCTGTTTCGTTGCCATCTCTTGCGTATATTGTTTTTATTTGTAATCATGTCTTGAATTTCAGTTGTGAGGTGTTCGTGGTGCATTTTTATGTGTTTGATGGCTGTCGTTTTGTCTCTTGCATTTATAATGTTCTTTGTGAGTTTGTCAACTTCTTTGTCTAGCTCTGTAGGTGTTGTGATGTTGTTGTTTATTACAATGTTTTTGTCCAGTATTTCCCTGTATTTTGCCCAGTTTGTTGTCTTGTGGTCATAGTATTGTCCGTTGTATCTTTGTATGTTTGTTTTCGTTCTGAGTTCTAAATAAACTGGGTCATGGTCCGAGTTAAGTGAAGTGATTGTTACGATGTTATGTACGCTGTTAATGTTTTTTGTCATGGCAATATCTAAAGTGCTGGGTGTTTGTCCGCTAAAAGGGAAGCACGTTGGTTCGTCGGTGTAGTGTATTTCATAATCATTTAATTCTGCGTAGGAGCTAAGTGTATTCCCATTTTTATTGTTTTTACGGCAGTTCGCGTCCCATTCTTTGTTTTTCGCGTTGAGATCTCCCATTAACAAGACTTTATCCCCTGTTGCCATGAGGTTGTGTAGATCTACGTTCGTAAAATGGTTTAATGGCTTATTATACACCCCTATAAATGTAATCCCCCCGATTTTAATGATTGCGTGCTCTATACTAGAGAGAACACTCGTGACAACTACATGTGGGATGGTACGTTTAATAAAGAAAGCCACGCCCCCTCCAGGTTGGTCTGCTCTGTCCTGTCTGTAGATGTCGTAGTCACGCACTTTTATTTTGTGGATTGGTTTAAGATGTGTTTCCGTTAATACTAAGATGTCAAATTTATGTTTATAAATGAAGTTGCTTACAAGATGTATCTTGTTTAGCAGCCCGTTTACATTGTAAAAACAGATTTTGTATTTGTCTCGGTAGACCGCAGCGAATTCAATTCCTAAATCTGTATGTATTGAGGTTGTTCATAAAATTATTGTAAGTTAAAAAGATTGACGCTTCGCTGCGGCATTCCCTTAGTTTGGAGTTAAGCTCCCTTACCGCGCGGGTTAATTCGGCTATGTTTACTAGTGAGTTAAGCTCTTGCATTTCATGATTCAGTGCAAATACGTCATCCATACCTCCCTGTGTTGCGTTCTGCGTATTATTTTGCTGTCTTCTGCTCTCTTGGCTTGTTGATGGTTCGTCTCGTTTGCCCGGTCGGAGAGGGAACTCCGTATTGCCCGGTAAGAGAGGGAACTCTGTGTTGTATCTTCGTTCACTGCTTTTTGTCTCACTTCTGGTTTCCCACCTATTTTTGGTAGGTAGGGGTGCGGGTATGTATTTTTTGGGGTTATTTTTGTTGCTATTCATTTTCTTCTCTTCAAGTCTAGAGACTCTCTCGAGGTATGCCTTACATTTAGTGAAGTTAGCGGGATGGTCGCCTCCGCAGTTGATGCACGTCGCGGGGGTATCTCTGGATTTGATACATGTCCTTGTATGGTGACCTGATGCACATTTTAAGCAGTTAGGCTGTCTTCCACAATTGGATGTGGCATGCCCCCATGCCTGGCAATTGTGGCATTGGATTATCTGTTTTGTGGATCTTCGCAGCTCCCAAGTTATGCGGGTGTACAGCACCACCCTGACGTTTCTGTTTAGATAATCCAAAGTGATTGACGGATCTGTGATTACCAGGAATAGGGGCCTATTTCTGGTGGTCATTCTGTATATAGATCTTGTTTTGATCTCGTAGTTTTGCATCAGGTCCTCCTCTAGGTCATCGATTTTTGTGCCGTCCCCAAGTCCGCGTAGCACGAATGCATGGGACTTCTCTGTTTTATTCGTATAGGTGTGGAAGGACATTTCTTCACTTTTGATATTCCTGATGACGTTGTCATAGTCATCTTTGTCCTCAGTGAAAACAATTGTGGAGTTGTTTGTGTATTTAAGGTTGAAATTACCCTTAATTATTTCCCTGAGGACACCCGTGAGCCCCTGGTGGTCTTCTGGCACTCCGTCCATGACTATGGGTGGCATATAGTTTTTCTTTTTGGCCTGTATTGTGTCTTTTTTGTTATTGTTGGTTGCGCTAGGGTTTTCTGCCTTCCTGTCGGCGGTTGAGTTTTTTCTTTGATTTCCGGCTTTCTCCCGTCTTTCTTTTCTAGCCAATTCTCTCTTTTTGAGAATTTCTTCGTCTTCTTCTTCTTCCTCAGACTCCGTGAGTACTTGGAATCTGTTTCTGGTCTCGACGGGTTTGGGAAGTGAAGCAATAGCTTTTTGCTTCATCATCCTTTTTAGATGGCCATTTAGTTTAGGGGGTGAGATGAAATCCTGAGTGTCCATGTTTTCGTCCGGTGATATTATGTCTATCCTATTTAGCTCTTTACTAGCTTCAGTGGTTCTTTTGTTTCTTTGTAGTGGGAATGTGCTATTGGGGGAGGTATGTAGGGGTGGGGGTGGTTTTTCGATAACGGGTGGGGGGTTTGGTTTTGGTCTGGGTTTGTATATTTTTGGGGGGAGAGGTTGTGTTCTGCCACTTGGGAGGGTTAATTCTGACGGTTGGTCAGGTAAGGGGTGGAGTATGGGGGTAACTAAAGTTTGTTTCAGCCTGGAGCTTTGGTTTTCATCCCCGGATAGTTCTTGTCCGCTGTTGTACTCCATAATGTTTTTCCTCAGAGCCTGCGGTACGTCGCTCTGCTTAATAGTGATTTTTATCCCTTCCGCTGAGGGGATCGCCACATATCCAGACACGAAGTCGTCTTCGTTCTTTTTATTTGCCTGTTCATACCGTCTGGGGGTGAATTTGAAATTTTTAATTTTCTCCATACTTTCCAAATTTTCGTTCTCCATACTTTCCAATTCAGTTTTCTCCAAACTTTTTAATTTTTTGGTTTTCTCCAAAGTTTCTGGGAATCCTTGGGATTTGGCAACATCGGAGCCGTCTCGATCGTCTTTGTCGGTGCTATCGAGATATAACTGCTCGATGCTTCTGGAGTCGTTGGCGCGTTCGCTAAGTTCATTCTCCGAACTTTCCGAAGAGTCTGTTTTTGGCCCTTTCGGCGAGTTTCTCTTAGCTTTTTTGGCCGTGTGGGTGTTGTTTCTCTCGAACGAGCCGTTTTCGGAGCTGTCTGCCTCCATTTCACTATCCTCGCTCGTTTTTGATTCGCCGCTTTCGTGTCTTTTGGAAAGTAAGTAGAACGCATTCTCCTTACTTTGTAGACTTTGGGCCAGCCCGCTGTCGCTAAGTGTTTTCTCCAAACTTTGCAGATTTTGTTTCTGCATACTTTGTAAATTATCGTTCTCCATACTTTGTAATTTTGAGTGTCTTTCGTCTTGAGAAGCGGCTTGTGTCGCGCTCGGACTTTTAGGTGGTTCGCCGGTGCTATGTCTACGGTCTCTCGTTGTATTACTAGGTCTATCAGTTTTCTCCATACTTTCCAATTTTGGAAAATTTGGCCGTGGGTCTCCTGCAGTACTGGACTTTTCACCGAGATTTATGGTTAGGTCCTCAGTACTTACAGTTTTTATGCTGCTCGATAGAATTATTCTTTTCTTATTTCTGGAGATGTTAGGGTTGCGTATGTAGCTTTCTCGGCTTTCTTGAATTAACTTATTGTAGGCTTTTACCCGACTCGATAGGCGTTGAGAGAGTTCGGTTTTTGATTCCGCGATTTTCGCGGTATTTGCCGGTTTACCCGGCGGTATGGCTGCCCCCGAGGGCTCCCCCATGCACGGGGTTACACTCCTGACACTTTTTTAAAACTATACCTGGCGATTATACTTTACTCGGACAATAATAAATGGAAAAATACTAAGAGGTTTGAAAGTAGGGTTATGTGTTACTTCGGATCCGGAACGAACGTAGATTCGGGTAACAGCAGCCTTGGTGAGTCCAAGGTTCACTGAGGATACATTAGAAAACCGACGTACATCCTCCTTAACAGCGAAGACCCCACTGAATAGTAAAATCACTACGATGAATAGCTACAAACTTTCGTCGGACGGAAGACTGCACGGTGACGTCATCACACAGTGCGAAAATTCACGGCTTGCCGAAATCAGTTTACCTAGAACTTTGCTAGGAGATAGTTCAACAAACCCACGCTACTTTGTTTACGGTTCGATACTGACAGCTGTCATAATTAATATTTTCTTTTATTTCGTTAACCCGCCAGTGTAAGTATATCCCAGAGTAAGGGATAAGGTCAATGACCGAGCCCGGAAGGGCCACAGCAGCATCCATCAAGGATTTCGAAACCCAATATTCCAAAAGGCTCAAAACCAGGTTTAATGCCGAGTCATTAAAAAAGCTCAACAAAGTTACGAACTTCAAATCACCCAAAACGGGAAAGACAAAGCTCAAAACACAATTGGAACATACAACTGTGAGTACCACCTCAAATAAAATAACACCAACTAACCCAGGGGTCAACTGTCCTGAACAGGAGGACCCCCTGGCAAAATTTTCAACAAATCGACCTTCAACTGACCCTCAAACTGTTGCTGAGCCGGCTGAAACAATATCAAAGCCAACAGAAGGGGAAATCCCACGTAAGCCGTCAGTGGCGAGTTCTGACGAGTCACTAGAATATCTTGACAGTCAGGACGATAGTGCAAATAGCACACACGACAAAGACCATGAAAAATCGGTAAAAAAACTGTTGCAGGACCTGGAAAATTCGGATGAATCCATAAATTCCAACAATAGTGTTGAAAATATGGATATCACAACGGTTGAAGTGAACCCTAGAAAGGAACCAGGAGAGAAATCTCCAGACGCGGACAAGTTTGTCTCCTCGTATGTCACAGGGGCAACAGGAGAACAAATCAAAACCCTGAGCTTACCTGCCAATGTAATGGCTAATTTACTGGATTTCAACACCAATGAATATAGTCAAAACACGATAAAGAACACGCATACAATGACTGACGGTGTGGCACAAACACAAAGTGGGGATGAACTGAGTAGTTTCCGCTTTGGGTTTAATCCCACACTGCCAGATCCGATTCTAGGAGCACACATTGACTTAAGCACGGCTACAATAAAAAGCACCGGCGCTATAAGCAAAAATCTTTCAAAAGATCCAAGAATAAGAAAGCAAGAAGTTCCAAGTAGAGTAGAGGCAAATATATTAAATTATGAATCAAGCATGACCTCTGATGAGGATGTGAGACATAAAATGAACAGAGAGGACAACCTTCCCCACTCTCCAAACAGTTTGTTTGAATTTAGATCACAAGCTGAGAGACTAAGACATGAGCAAGAAGTCAGAGAGATAGAGGCTGCGAAAAGAGCGAGCATTGAACAGCCATTCGTAAAGCCTAAAAAATTCTCTACAAATTTTGAGAAATTAATTCGCGAAAAATCGATCCGAACCATTACCCCTGTTAATAATAAGTTCGAACCACTCACGGACGAATCAGAACCTGAAATTGACGACGACGAAATAGGCCGTATAGTCAAGAAAAGGAAAAAGGGACACAAATTCAAGCCATTAGTGATGGATGACACACCTGCCCCCTCAAATGCTGTCACTGAGACCCCTAACAAATCTCAAAAAGAGCACAACAACAGAACAGCACTTACAAATAATGCCAGTAACAGACAGACAAAAATCACAAAAAAAAACATGCCGCCAATCGTAATAGACGGAAAAACTAAGGACCAGCACTCGCTGATAAGAGACCTCAAAGTGCAGGTCAAAGGTGAATTCAGCGTAAAGCATACTAACGCTACAACAATAATATTCTTAGAAGAAAAAGACGACCATGCGCGTGTAATACAGAACATAAAAAATGATAACATCCCGTATCATACATATACAACTAATGACGAAAAATCACATGCGTTCGTGTTAAGAGGCCTGGCTGAAGGCACTAAAATCCAACAAATCGAAGAAAACTTAGAAGATGAGCACGAAATAAAAGCTAGGTCGATTTACCAAATGAAAACTAGAGATAGGCCCCTGTTTCTGGTAGTTACTGACACTGCCATAACTTTAGACTATCTAAACAAAAATGTGAGAAGAGTAAATTACACGAGAGTAATATGGGAGTTACGCAAATCAACTAAGGCAATCATTCAGTGTCATAACTGCCAGCAATGGGGGCATGCCACATCCAATTGCGGCAGACCGGCGAAATGTGTAAAGTGTGCGGGTGATCACCACACGAAAACATGCCTCAAAACCAGAGATACACCGGCCATTTGTGTCAATTGCGGGGGTGATCACCCGGCGAACTATTCAAAATGCACTGCTTATACTAACAAGTTAGAAAGACTTGAAGAACGTCGACCCAAGCCGAAACAAAAATTTGTACCCGCCCCTAAACCATCTATAAACCAATGGGAGGCCAGACAACGCAGACGAAGTGCTAATACCGATTTTCCGGCCCTGCCCACTAAAACGGTCAACAAGGAAGCAAACGAAGCACAGAAAACATCAGAAAAAACAAGATTACCCAATTCTAATACAACCATGGACGATTTCTCGGCTCTCAACGCGGAATTTGAAACTCTTAACAGGTTAGTTAATATTGGTGAACTCACTAGGGCGGTCAGAGAACTGAACGCCAGACTTATAAAATGTAGAAATGGACAAGAAATTATTGAGACGTATAACGCGTTCATGAATAACGTAGACAAGAACTTTAATTTAAGGAACTGAACTCAATTCTAGAGACAAACAAAAACTCAAAATTTGTTTTTACAATGCAAATGGGATGCGCACAAGAACACAGCTTGTCCGCAGTTTTATTCATAAATATAATTTTGACATCGTACTTATTACAGAAACACATTACAAACCAACGGACAAAATCAGAATACAAGGGTACGATTCCATCAGACATGACAGACCGGGTCAGTCATGGGGTGGAGTAGCTTTCTTTATTAAATCTAATATTACTTATCAGCAACTACCGAACTTAGATATCAAACAATAACATCTATTAATAAAAATTAATCATATTATTTTTGTAGGATTATATAACTCACCGGCTAATACACTTACAAGATTAGAAATAAATAAAATCATGTCGTCAGGTAACAGGGTTCTTTTACTGGGAGACTTAAATGCCAAACACCCTCACTGGGACTCTAACTGTATGGTTCCCAACACCAGTGGCAGGAACTTGAATAATTTCGCCGAAGGCAACGACGTAATTATCCATTATCCAGAAGACCCCACCTACTATCCCTCATGTCCTACCTACCTCCCCAGCACCCTGGACATTGCGGCTGCCAAAAACATACCAAACATTGATAAGACAAGGACAATCAAGACACTCACATCAGATCATGACCCTGTATACATGGAAATTATGACAACATCCATGATTCCCATGATACAGGGTCGTTATCATGACTACAATACGACAGACTGGACTAAATACAGGACAATTCTGGACAATAACATTACGATTAACAACAACATTACGGACAAAGACTCTCTTGAGGAAGAACTAAATAATTTGAACACGGCAATAATAAAAGCAAGAGATGCTTTAACGAAAGTAATCACATTTAAACCTCATAAGGATGATCTTCCTCAAGAGATCCTTGACTTAATCTCCAACAAAAATCATTTACGCAGACGGTGGCAGTCGCACAGACAGGTCGCGGATAGGGTAATGTTCCAAGAGCTTGGTAAAGCAATAAATAGAGAAATAACGGAATTTAGAAACCTAAAATGGCGCAGAACCCTAGAAGCGATTAACGTACGAGACAACTCAGTGTGGAAAACTGTGAGACGATTCCGAAAACCGTTCTCGCAGCTGCCCACACTGAAACAAAATGACATAACATACACGACTGACGAACAAAAATGTACAGCCTTCGGCGAATATTTTCAGACCAACTTTGTAAACTCGCAAGAAAATAATAACAAGCAAAATGAAATCACTGATATTGTACAAAAAATAAAAAATCTGCCAACTCAAACAGTAACGCAAGAACTTCTTACAACCCCTAAAGAGATCATTGAAATCGTTAAAAGAACTCCCAGTAAAAGAGCTCCTGGACCTGATAATATCCACAACAAGCTTCTAAAAAACTTGTCGAAAAAGGCTTTTGTTCACTTACATTATGTAATTAATGCAATTATCAAACTTCAATGGTATCCGGACACATTAAAAGTTGCTAATGTGGTTCCGATACACAAACACGGTAAAAATAGATTTGATATTGAAAGCTACCGCCCCATATCTCTTCTCAACGGCATTGCCAAAATCACAGATCGTGTCCTGCTCACGAGGCTACACACATACGAACAGGACAATCCGATTATTCCACCCGAACAGTACGGTTTCAAAGCTGGACACAGTACGGTTGCACAAGTACTACGCATCGCTCACCACGCCAAAAAGGCAATGAATCAAAAAAAGCAGACAGTACTTGTTGCACTCGATGCTGCTAAGGCGTTTGACACCGTCTGGACGGATGGTTTAATCTACAAAATGTTCATGAATGATTACCCTGTTTCCATTGTAAAAACAATTCAAACATACTTACATAACCGTAAATTCTACGTTAAAATCAATAATACCAGACAAGGACCATATACAGCGCAGGCGGGAGTACCTCAAGGTTCGGTACTAGCGCCGCACCTGTATACTATTATGACACATGATCTCCCCATGGGACAAAATGGTATACAGACGGCCTTGTACGCCGACGACACCTGTGTATTTAAAACATCACAATCTGCAGAAATCGCGACCAGAAGGCTGGACATTCATATTAACCGAACGTTGGTCCCATACCTACTTGATAATAAAATAAAAATCAATCCAACAAAAACAGAGTCACTCATTCTCACTCACAGACACACTGAGGGCATTATAACTAAGCTCAAAGTACAAGGTAAGGTTATAGAAACCAAAGAACAAATTAAATATC